GTTTAGGGTTGAGGGTTTAGGAAATATAGGGTTCAGGGTACTGCCCCTGCTTTCTAGCTACGTAGATATCTTCGCACTACTGGGTTACACAAGTTGTGACGAATAGCCTACTATCCAGCTAACTGGAGCCCTAGGAGAAAGGAACGTACCGTAGATACAGATAATATTCAGGATCCCCCCAAAGTTTATTGCACATCTCCAAACTCCCTGAACCCTAAACCCAAACCCTAAACCCTATACCCTATACCCGAAACCTTATACCCGAAACCCGAAACCCGAAACCCCAAACCCTAAACCCTATACCCGAAACCCTAAACCCGAAACCCCAAACTTTAAGATCACCGGGACAGCAATGCAGGAGGGCCGACCTCGTGAGACCGGTGCTGGAGGCCTTTGCGCAGGAAGATCTTCCCTTCATAGTAGGGCTTAGGGTTTAGGGTTTAGGGTTTAGGGTTTAGGGTTTAGGGTCCAAAGGACCCAATAATTAGGTACTTTGGTTTCGGAGAATAGTAGTTATGTAGGTTACTATTTGGGAGAGCATATGATTATTAGGTACTTGGACCCTCAGGGTTACCTTAACCTACCGCCAAAACTCATTTATGTTGTAGGTTCTTATTTTGAACCCTAACATGGGATTGTTTAGGGACCTACAAAAAGTAGGTTCTGGTGGGTTAAGGTAGGTCATTGGGCTTCGGGTTTAGGGTTTCAGGGTTTCGGCTTTGGGTTTGGGGCTTAGAGTCTGGAGTTTACGTGGGGCATAAGGTTTTGGGTTTAGTGATTAGTGACTAGTGTCTTGATAGTTAAACCTAAACCCTAAATCCTAAACCCTAAACTCTAAACCCTTTTGCTGTGTTTGGGGGTTTAGGCGCTCTAGGGCAAGCCCTAAGCTAAACCCTACATCCTTAAACAAGCATCTGAGTCTTAAGTCCTGATCCTTAGCTCAAACAAAACATCCTAAACCCCAACCCCCACGAAACCGAAGTCCGAACAAATATACGCTACTCAAACCTCGATCCCGACGACTGAACAAGGATCCAAGGCCCCTGAACTTAACGTTCTAGGATTCAGGATTTAGGATTTTAAGGTTCTAGGATTTAGGATTTGAGATCCGAGGACCTTAAACCTCAACCCTACACCCAAAATCCAAGGACCCTAAACCCTAAACCCTAAAACCGTCGTGTGACTCCCGAATCCAGGAGCATCACGGAGTGCTCTCGGCTCGTCTCTGCACCGCCGGAATCGTCTCTTGCGGCCGTGCTGGGTCGGGGGACCTGCTTGGGTTTAGGGTTTAGGGGTTTACCAGCACCCCCCAAGTACCCTTTAATAGCGCCCTTATGGTCCGTAATAGTGGGCACTTCGGGTATAACAGAGGGTAGTTGGGGGGTGCTGGTAGGGTTTAGGGTTCAGGGTTGTAAGGTTTCGTAGTAGAGTAGGGTATATAGTAGAAGCCAGAAAGTTGGAGCAATGATTATCCTCATGCCCCTTAAGGGTAAAGTGTAAGGGATCCTATAGCACTAATCCTCCCAAACCCATGTTCCAACTTTCTGGCATTTGCTGTAGGGCTAGGGGCTTGGGGTTTAGGGTGTAGGGCTTGATAGTAGAGTGGGTAACCTTCAACCTGGTTGGCGTGCTATAAAACCCTCTTTTTTTGGCAATGGCACTGGTAAACCCTAAACCCGAAGCCCTAAACCCTAAGCCCTAAACCCTAAACCCTAAACCCAGTCCCCCTAGGGCACTGGAGTTGATGGCTCAGCGAGTTCAGGATTTCAGATTTAGGGTTGAGGGTTTAGGATTTTAGGGTTCAGGGTTTAGTGTTTAGGATTTCAGATTTAGGGTCTGATGATTCTTTCCATGATTTAGGGTGTCGGGTTTAGGGTTTAGGGTCTCGGATTTAGGGTTTAGGGTCTAGGGTTCAGGGTTCAGGGTTTGAGGGCTTTAAGGTTTAGGGTCTTCTACGTCGTTACCGGGGCCGACCAACTCGAACATTCATTGCTTTTCGTAGTACATTGCCCAAGCATGGCACTTGGTATGTGGAGTCTGTACTGTAGGGGCCTAACTAATTACCAATACTATTTTGGGGGACTCCTGGTTATAATTATAATTATAGCATAATGGGCCCCAACTATTTTGGGGACTCCTGGTTATAATTATAATTATAGCATAATGGGCCCCAAACTTTGTTCTAATTAGGCCCCCTACAGTACCACTTGGTGTCCAAGCTTTTCAGCCACTCCTGTCATGAGAGGTAATGTAGGGTCCTAAAGAATTAGAATAGGGTTTAGGGGGTGTCCTTGTTATAGTTATAGTATAAAGGTCCCCAGAACCTTATTCTAATTATTCAGGCCCCTATATTAAGGGAGCAAGCTAAAGAACAAGAAGAAGAACAAGAAGAAGAAGAAGAAGGGCTGGCAGACGACGAATACTGGCGGATGGACCCAGCCATGGGTGTTGATACGCCCGCATTGAAGCCGTACGAACCCCAGGCCCCAATCCTTAAAACTGGACTCTATGCCAAACCCTAATCCCCTAAAGTCCTAAACCCAACACCCTAAACCCCTAAAGCCCTAAAGCCAACACCCTACTCCCTAAACCCCTAAAGTCGTAAACGCAACACCCTAAACCCCTAAAGTCCTAAACGTAACACCCTACACCCTAAACCCCTAAAGTCCTAAACGCAACACCCTACACCCTAAACCCCTAAAGTCCTAAACGTAACACCCTACACCCTAAACCCCTAAAGTCCTAAACGTAACACCCTACACCCTAAACCCCGAAAGTCTTAAACGCAACACCCTACACCCTAAACCCCTAAAGTCCTAAACGTAACACCCTACACCCTCCACCCTAAAGTCCAGGTGGGGTCTAGGGGCAAGTGTTTCACAATCATATACTGCCTCAGCTAACCTATCCTAGCCCCATGTACCTGATAGTTGGTTCCTGTGGACCCTCAGAGCTAGGGTTTTGATGTTTGGGGTTTAGGGTTTAGAGTTTAGGGCTTAGGGTTTATGTAGAGTTTAGGGTTTAGGGTTAGGTGGTGAGTGTGTCCTTGGACTCGGGGTTATCCTTTGGGGTGGTGGTCGGGGCGTGGGGGAAAGTCCTGTGTTGAGAACCCTTCCAAAACCCTAACCCCTAAACCCCTAAACCCTAAACATAGTAGTCCTTATAGTAGCCCTTATAGAACCCTTTGAGGAACCCTTTAAAGGAGCCCCCAAACCCTAAACACTGAAAGCTCCAACATCTTGCAGACCTTCTGCACCGACACACAGACACGCGCCACATTCCAGACATTTCTAGGGTTTAGGGTTTAGGGTTTAGGGTTTAGGGTTTATATGTTCCGGAGGTCTTTAACTTAAATTCTCAAGGGGGAAGTTCTCTTAATTAGGGTCCTTGATTAAGTCCCCAAAATAGTACGACACCTTTATAAAACTGACCCCCAAAGGACCCTAATTTAGAGAACTACCCAAATTTACGACCATCGAAACCCTGAACCCTACACCCTAAACCCTAGTCCCTGGACTCTAGACTCTACACCCTAAACCCTATACGCTAAACCCTATACCCTAAATTCTAAACCCTACACCCTAAGCCCTAAACCGTCTAAACTTCTCAGGTCGTGGCCAGATGCCCTCGATCTCCTCCACACGATACACGCCTTCACCATCGCACCCAACAGCTTCTGCTGCTCGGAGGAGGCTTGAGCTTTAGGGGGTACTTGGCGGGTCGGGGACCTAGGAAATGGTTATTCTATAGACTTATAAGTACTATAACCCCAATTCGGGTCCTTTTTAGGGTACTTATAAGTGGTCTCCCGACCCTCCAAGTAGGGCCCAGGGTCTAGGATGAGGGGCAGCTTACGGTTGAAGGGTTTAATGTAGGGGCCGAGATATTTGCCAACACTGTTTTTTGGGGGGTTCCTTATTCTAAGTATAGTATGATATACCCCAAAACCCTATTCTAGTTATTAAGGCCCCTATCCTTAAGGACGACATGAACCCTAAAATGGCTTAAGGTTCATATACCATATAGGGATTCCTAGTATAAGGGTATAGGGTCCCTACCTTTAAACGGTCAAGGATAGTAGAGCTTTGAGGTTCCAGTTTAGGGTTGTATAGTGGGAAATTTCTTGGCTCCACTGCCACAAGCACGGTTTAGGGTTTAGGATTGAGGGTTTAGGATTTACAGTTTAGGTTTTAGGTTTTTTTCGAAGTGCAGGTGTGTATGTGTAGGTATTTGTCCAGGGAATGGAATCGGAATTCGAAGGGGCTGCTGTTATTTATTCGTCCATATTCCAAGCTTTGTAGTTCTATTCAAGGCAGGGGTCTGCAGGTTACGATCACAGGAAGGCAGGATTTGATGGTGGTGCCTCGAGACAACGGACCTCCTCTAAGCTTGAAGCCCTAAGGCATCCTAAGCCCTGTCAACCCGGAAGCAGAACCCCCTCAATCCGAATTAAGCTCTACCCATAGGCCCCACAGTACAGTAGGTCCTTTCTAGAGTTCATATTTGGAATCCTATAAAGTAATCCCAAAAAGGAACTACTATGGGGCCTATGGCTAAACTCGTGTACCTCTTCTTGTGGGCTGAGTGCATCAGGCATTCTGGAACTAGAGCTCCACACGCTGCCCCCTCCTAAACCCTAAACCCTAAGTGATGGGTAGTTCTCTAGATTGGGGTACCCTTTCGAGGTCCCCCCAAATAGTACAGCAGCCTTATATTATAGATAGGATCCTGAAAGGGGGGCCCTGCTGCAATTTAGGGAACTACCCTGATAGTCACAAGGCTGCTGTATGTGTTTGACTCATCATTAATGAAAGCAGAAGAATGATGGCAATAGGTTCACAGATGTTGATAAGAGCAGAAGCCATAGCATGCGCCTACGAGTATTGAAGCATGGCCAGGACGAGTATTGCAGACCACTCATCAATAAACTCCGTTTCTTGAGGGGCCTCAATATTGGGATCCCCATTTCTTGTTTCAGCGCCTACATCATGCAGGGTTTGGGCCTTTTCCTTAAGTACCAAATTACCCTTAAAAGTACGGACCCTATACTCTTATACCAGGAATCTCTATATGGTAGATGAACCTGCCGTTTTAGGGGTATTTTCGTCATTAAGGCTTGTGGATGTACTGATGTAATAAAGACGCCACGTGAGTCAATCACCCATCTTGGAAGGTTCACACGCAGTTGTTGCAAGCCGGGGTGGTGCTGTATATGCATGCATGCATGTAAGGATAGGTGAATAGGATAGGATAGGACAGACATGGATGGATACAGGTAGACATAGCTAGGTACGAATAGATATGAGTAAATCAAGATAGACAAGTGTTAGATAGATGCAGGTAGATATATTTAGATACAGTTAGATGTCGACAGATAGACAGACGGAGAGACAGATAGACGGACTGACAGACAGACTGACAGACTGACAGGTAGACAGACAGACGAACGGACAGATAGAAAGATAGCTAGGAAGAAAGAAAGAAACACGTACCATTACATGCATGAAAGAGTTTGCACTAGCTGCACCACCTGTTCTTGGCCACGGCGAACGCCCTTAAGGACCCTTTTAGTGAGCCCTAAACCCTAAAACCCAAAACCAGCAACAAGGCTACAACGCGGGTCTCCAGGCCTGCGCAGTAGGGCGGCAGTGGCTCAGAGCCCTAGAGCCACTCGGAGCTTTTGGATTACTTGTGAGTAGTTTTCTAAATTAGGGTCCCTTTTTAGGTCCCCAATATACTACGGCACCCTTATAAAAAGGACCCTAAAAGGGATCCTAATGTAGAGAACTAGCCTAGTCGCCGCCCCAAGAAAGCTACTTTTTTAGGGTTCCTTATGATGGCTTCTATAGATAGTTCCTTAAACGGTATGGTTTGTGGGCCAGAGCCCGGGTCTTTGGGTTTATAGGGCTTTACGAGGTTTGCAATTTGATGGCTCCACGTAAACTTGAGTCCAGAATATAGGAATGCCAGCGATTTTGTGGGTTTACGTAAGACCTTGAAGTCAATTGAACCCTCAACCCGATAAGCCCTAAACCACTCAATGCGATTAATCAAGCTACCCTGCTAAGCGGAAAAAATGACCCTTAAAAGTAGGGGCCCTATACCCTTATACTAGGAATCCCTATATGGTATATGAGCTTTAAGCGCTTTTAGGGTTCATTTCGTCCTTAAGGAGCCTTGCAACATTGACATTTTTTTGGCGCTTACAGAAGCCTTGCAGAGTATGGCTTTTGGAGCCAGCGGGACACATGTATTTTCAAGCCAGTATGAGGCTGCTCCGTGGCATGGATTCGGCCCAAGTTGCACCTGCCGCTCAGCAACAATGATGACATCAAGTCTGGTCTTGAGCCTCCTTGCGTACTAGGTGTTAGGTGTGACACAGGATCAACCTCGTGATGCAGGCTGTCCCTTAGAGCTATATCCTGCCAGCATGTAATATAGCGGCCGCACTACTTACCAATATTATTCCTTGGTCTTCCTTGGACTACAACCCCCAAAACCCTATCCTGAACCCTAACCCCTAAATCCTAAACCCTAGACCCTGTCCTAATTATTACGGCCCTGAAGCACCCTAAAGCCCAACAGGCCCGGCGCCCCGGCGCCCTGACCACAATTTTAGGGTTTCGGGTTTAGGGTTTGGGGTTCAAGGATTTTGAGATTCAGGGTTTTAGGGTTTAGGGGTTTCGGGCTTTTGGGGTTTAGGGTTTAGGGTTTAGGTTTGGGGTTTGAGGAATTTAAGGATTTTGAGATTCAGGGTTTTAGAGTTTGGGGTTTAGGGTTTAGGGTTTAGGGTTTAGGTTTGCGGTGTAAGGATTTTGAGATTCTGGGTTTTAGGGTATAGGAGGCTAGGGTTTAGAGTTTAGGGGTTTCGGGTGTTAGGAGTTTAGAGTTTAGGGATTTAAGGATTTAAGGACTTTGGGATTCAGGGTTTTAGGATATAGGAGGTTTGTGTTTAGGGTTTAGGGTTTTAGCGTGTTTGGGTTCGGGGTTCAGGGTTTTTGGGGAACAGGAGTCTAGGGTTTAGGGTTGAGGTTACGGTTTAGAGTTTAGGCTAAAGGGTTTACGGTGTGGCGTTTAGGGATTTTGAGATTCTGCGCCCAGGGTTCTGCACGAGGGTTTCCATGCTGACTAGCACTCTCAAACCTCTGCCGGCTACAATTTCACGCATGGGTCATGCTGGGGTAATCTGAATCATGAGGCATACTATTCCTTGGGGTGCCTTGTAGTAGTTGCAGTGTTATAACCCCCACCCCCACCCCCAACAAAACAAACGCCCTCTGGCTACGCAATGAAGGCCCTCCCCCCCCTGGCTTCCTATGTTTATCCCTTTATCCCTGTCAAAATTGAACAGTAGGAGAAGGAAGTCTTATTTTAGGTGGTCTACTGGACTTAGGAATAGGACGTCTCAGCTTGGTGCAGGGCATTCGGCTTTTTTTTTGGTTCAAGCTTCACACTTCAAGGTTTGAATTTGCCAAGGACCAGTACAGCTACAGCATTGCCATCAGCGTTTGCGAGAAGATCCTCTGATTCAACTTCTTCACCAAACCCTAAACCCCAAGCCCCCTGGGGCTTACTGGTGCTTCTGAATTCGCCTACATGTCGTTTCTTGCCTTCTAGGACCGGTAGAGAAAGATGTGCGCTGTGTGGTAATATATGACTACCTATACTATTTTTGGGTTCCTTACCTACAGCACAAATACCACAAAAACCTACTCGAGTTAATAAGGCCCCTACATTGTGTTTGCTGTGATTGACTGACAGACTCCCTGAGTCTGCGAGTCTTGTTGGCTGAATACTATCGGGTTTAGGGTTTAGGGTATCTGGAAAGCTAGAAACCTGCCAATATTGATCCCAACCTCAATATGCCTTCAATTCCTACAGGCCCTTGCCTCTGTGCGGAACAGAACTTGTTCCGAAGACCATGTCCAGCATACGTCTGCCCATACCATGTGCATACATGTACGTACAGGCATACATATCTACATAGAGACTTGTTTATCTATCTAGGGATGCATTTAGTTGCTTGGTTTCATCTTGGTTGCTACCGCAATCGGCAAGTCGAGCATCGGCGATTGCGGGATTGAAATCGAGCTGGATTGCAATGTGTAGTTCCTTTCTTTGCTTATTCAGTCGCTTCTTGATCATTTTCATCTGCCTTCATGTTTGCATACGCGTTTTGTTTTGTGGGGTCTGGATGAAGCCCCTATAGCTTGCAGTTAATCGTTGAGGTCTCAAGACTCGACCCAGCACTGCACAGGCTTTTGGAATTTATGGTTTAGGGTTCAGGGTTTAGGGTTTATATGGTTCATGCTTCAGGACTTTGAGTTTAGGATTTTAGGGTTTTGAATTCAGGGTTTTAGGGTTTGCTGAAACGAACCCCAAAACAATGAAGCACAGCACACCATGGGAGTCAGCAACCCAAAGCCCCTTTGCGCTACCCAGAGGGCCCCATAACGACTCCTGACATGACGAGTATTTCTTAATCAATAGATCGATCCGTACGGCAAGTTAAGTCATGTTCCGTAGCTAGGGAGTAGTTCTTGGCCTGCCCGGGTGCTTCCCCCAAGTCAAACCCTCAGCATGAAACACACATGCTCGGTTTAGGGTTTAGGGTTTAGGGACCCCTAAACCCTAAACCCCAAACCCTAAGCCCCTAAACCGTTAAAGTTTTGTATCGCCCCTAGGCCCTCAACCCGCTAAGCCCTTGGATAGACGGCCCCGGCGTCCCAAGGACATCGCAGTGGCCTCGGGCGCTGCGGCTCTTCACCGATCTCCGCGAAGCAGCTGTTCCAGTCGATGCCGGCATCCTCGCTCCTAGTCTGGCCTTTGGAGTACCATACCATAATTCTTTTTTTGCGGGACCTGTTACCTGTTCCTTAAAGGAACCATTATGAAATACAAGTCTATACTTTTTCTCCCTGGTTACTTCAAAGCCCAGTAGTTAACAAGCACCCAAGAATAAGCTTCGAGGTGGCATATCCCCACTTTTTGTTGCGTTTAGGAAGCCCGAAGCCCTACACCCCAAACAGTTCACCATCAACTCTAAATCCCCAACAACTCTAAACCCCAAACGTTAAAGCCTAAACCCAAAACCCTAAAGCCTTCTTACGGTATTTGTTTGGTGTTTCACGGGGTCCTACCTAGGCCGTTCCTGAATGATCTGCTTTCCTGGCATAGTGGTTTATGGGGGTTTAGGGTCTAGTCTAGGGGTCTAGGGGTTTAGGGTTTAGGGGTTTAGGGTCTCGTGGTTTAGGGTTTTGGGTCTAGGGCGTCTAGGGTTTAGGTGATAGGGTTAAGAAGTATAACGGTACATTCCGGAATGTCCAGTGGTCATGTTGTTAAGAAGGTACCTGTATGCTATAGGAGGACTATACTCAACATGCTCAAAATAGCGCAAGCTGTCACATATGAGTCCTTGCAGCCTATGGCTCTCCCTAAACCGTAGAAGCCCGAAACTCCATGCACAATTACCCTAAACCCAAACCCCTAAACCCTAAATCCTAAAACCCTAAACCCTAAAAGCCTAAATCCCTACACCCTGGGACCCTAAACCCTAAACCCTAAAAACCCTTAACCCTAAAACCTTAAACCCTGGGACCCTAAAACCCTAAACCCTAAAACTCTAAAACCCTAAAACCCTAAAACCCTAAATTCTGGGACCCTAACCCTAAAACCCTAAAACCCTAAACCCTAAACCCCATAACCGCCGAAGCTGCGAATCGCCCTAAACCCTAAACCCTAAACCCTCAAACCCTAAACCCTAAACCCTGGGACCCTAAACCCTAAACCCAAAAAAAACCTATAAACCCTGGGACCCTAACCGCCGAAGCGGCGAATCGCCTCCGACTTGAAGAGCCCAGGCTCCGCTGATCAGCGCCTACGGGCAAGGCCCGGGCTCCCAAATATCCTCAAAACTTTGGGTTTTGGGTTTAGGGTTTAGGGTTTAGGGTTTAGGGTTTAGGGTTTAGGGTTTAGGGTTCAGGGTTCAGAGGTTTAGGGTTTAGGGTTTAGGGACAGAAAGAACCCTGCAAGGGAAACAGGTCACGTGCCCAAAAAAGAGTTCCATTCCAATTAGGGGCCTCCTTTAAGGGTTCCCATCAGGGTATCATAAGGGTTTAGGGTTGCAGGGTCCATGTACCCAAATAGTGTACACTTGAACCCTTAAATAAAAGGATTATATAAGGGCTAGGAAATCCAAAATCCCACTGTCCCAGGCTTCTGCACTGCAGTAAAGGGGTCATTACCTGCCGGTTTAAAGTTGATAGGGTTTGGGAGAGGTAGGGTGTTACCCAAAGGGTCCATGTACTCAAATAGTGTACACTTCGGCCTTAAAGAAGTCCCTATATAGGTACTTTGGGGCCAAGGCATATACTATTTGAGTACATGGACCGCCAGGGTTAGGACGTAATGAACCCTACAAGGGATTAAGGTTCATATAATACTAAACCCTAAACCCTAAACCCTAAACCCTAAACCCCTAAACCCTAAACCCTAAACCCTAAACCCTAAACCTTAAACCATATACCATATTGGGGTTCCTGGTATTCAGGTTAAATTCACCAAGGTTGAGGGCCTCGGGCCTTGGGTTTAGGGTTTAGGGCCTTCCGGAGTTTGGGGGCCTTTGGGGGTCTAGGGTTTAGGCCCTTCGGGGTCTAAGGGAGATAGTTTGGGGTTTAGGGTGTACGTCGGTTTTGGGGTTGAGGGTTTGGAATGCAAGTCTTTTGGATTTAGAGGGTGAGGTTTGTGGTTAGGGTTCAGTGTCCCTAAACCCTAAACCCCAAACCCTAAACCCTAAGCCGCGCTCCCTCTCCAAGGTCATCTCCATAGCAGGGGGTTCGGAACAGTTGGGGGTCCAGCTTACCCATATTTGAAACCCCGAAAGGTCTAAAGCCTTCTCTAACCTCTCTACAATCCTGTCTGAGTGCACATTAAGACTTCAAAAGCCCTTTCAGAGCCCTTTTTAGGGTTTAGGGTTTAGGGTTTATAAATTTTTACCAACACTCGCTCTTCC